AGGCAGTACCGTAGTCTGTTAAAAAACGTACTTGGTAAAAATATTGAAACATTAAATATAAGCGTTAAGATGTATACAGTTTACCTCACACAGTTAAGTGAGAACAGTTGGGGCGGACACTGCACTCGGCCGTCTGAACTTCCTAAACAGTAAAGTCAGGTAGCCATTCACACCTGGGGGAGCTCTCATATCATGAGGCAAGTTTACTAAAAACTTAAACAGTACTTTACAGGACGTGACCAGACAGGTGTTTACCAGGTGTCAGACGTCAGGTGTTTACCGGGTGTCAGATGTCAGATGTTTACAATGTGTCAGGCGTCATGTGTTTACCAGGTGTCAGGTGTTTACCAGATGTCAGATGTCAGGTGTTTACCAAGTGTCAGGTGTCAGGTGTTTACCAGGTATCAGGTGTCAGGCGTTTACCAGGTGTCCGGTGTTTACCTGGTGATCCTCGACTCATTACCTGGTGATCATTGACTCAGTACGTGGTGATCCTTGACCGAGTCTTCGTTACCATCAGGAAGAAGGATCCGCTCACACGTCACACTGGATCACTTCACAGTGTTTGAGGTGATCCACCAGAGTTCACCCCGCCATGGATCACTACTACCTCACACGGCTACTGCTTGTCCTAGTTGGCACAGTTCAGGTGGTTAGGACTGGGGTCTGTTAGGACTGGGGTCTGTTAGGACTGGGGCCTGTTAGGACTGGGTCTGTTGGGATTGGGGTCTGTTAGGACTGGGGCCTGGTAGGACTGGGATCTGTTGGGACTGGGGTCTGTTAGTATTGGGGTCTATTAGGACTGGGGTCTGTTAGGACTGGGGTCTGTTGGGACTGGGGTCTGTTGGGGCTAGGGTCTGTGGGACTGGGTGTCTCTATTAGGACTGGGTGTGTTAGGACTGGGGTCTGTTAAGGGCTAAGGGTCTGTTAGGACTGGGAGATCTGTTGGGACTGGGGCCCTTTAAGGACTGGGGTCTAAGGGACTGGGGTCTGTTGGGACTGGGGTCTATTGGGACTGGGCAGGATTCTGTTAGGACTGGGGTCTATTAGGACTGGGGTCTCTGTTAGGACTGGGGTCCTGTGTGGATGGGGGGTCTGTTGGGACTGTGGTCTGTTAGGACTGGGGTCTATTGGGACTAGGGTCTGTTGGGACTGGGGTCTGTTAGGACTGGGGTCTGTTAGGACTGGGGTCTGTTAGGACTGGGGTCTGTTAGGACTGGGGACTGTTAGGACTGTGTTTGTAAAAGATAACATTTGACCAACGCAAAACATTACTGAGTAGCCTTATGTTCCTGTCGGCCAGAGACGCTGTGAGGGAGCAGTAAATATGTTCAGTCAGTCAGTCAGTCAGTTAGTCAGTCAGACAGTCAGTCAGTCAGTCAGTTAGTCAGTCAGTTAGTCAGTCAGTCAGGAAAGACGTTCATACATTTTATTAACGCATTCAAAAAATGATTAACGAAACAGTATAACGAAAATATTGGTAGAAATATTCCGTGGCTGAGTGGGACAACTTTTCGCCACGGAAGAGAAGAGTCACCGGTTCGACTCCTAAACTGAAGTGAATATTAAGTCCTCTCTCTGTGTGCCAAAAGGGGGTGTAAGACTCAGTGTATCCTGCCAAGGGGGGTGTAAGACTCAGTGTATCCTGCCAAGGGGGGTGTAAGACTCAGTGTATCCTGCCAAGGGGGATGTAAGGCTCAGTGTATCCTGCCAAGGGGGGTGTAAGACTCAGTGTATCCTGCCAAAAGGGGGTGTAAGACTCAGTGTATCCTGCCAAGGGGGTGTAAGACTCAGTGTATCCTGCCAAGGGGGTGTAAGACTCAGTGTATCGCCAGGGAGTGTAAGACTCAGTGTATCCTGCCAAGGGTGTAAGACTCAGTGTATCCTGCCAAGGGGCGTAAACTCAGTGTATCCTGCCAAGAGGGGTAAGACTCAGTGTATCCTGTCAGGGGTGTAGAAACAGTGTATCCTGCCAAGGGGTGTAAGACTCAGTGTATCCTGCCAAGGGGTGTAAGAAACAGTATATCCTGCCAAAAGGGTGTAAGACTCAGTGTATCCTGCCAAGGGGGTGTAGACTCAGTGTATCTTGCCAAAGGGGTGTAAGACTCAGTGTATCCTGCCAGGGGGCAAGACTCAGTGTATCCTGCCAAAGAGGGGGTGTAAGACTCAGTGTATCCTGTCCAAGGGGTGAAGACTCAGTGTATCCTGCCAAGGGGGTGTAAGACTCAGTGTATCTTGCAAGGGTGTAGACTCAGTGTATCCTGCCAAGGGGGCGTAAGACTCAGTGTATCCTGCCAAGAGTGTAAGACTCAGTGTATCCTGCCAAGGGGTGTAAGAAACAGTGTATCCTGTCAAGGGGGCGCAAGATTCAGTGTATCCTGCCAAGGAGTGTAAGACTCATTGTATCCTGCCAAGGGGATGTAAGACTCAGTGTATCCTGCCAAGGGGTGTAAGACTCAGTGTATCCTGCCAGGGGAGTGTAAGACTCATTGTATCCTGCCAAGGATGTAAGACTCAGTGTATCCTGCCAAGGGGGTGTAAGACTCAGTGTATCCTGCCAAGGAGTGTAAGACTCATTGTATCCTGCCAAAGTGTAAGACTCAGTGCATCCTGTCAGGGGTGTAAGACTCAGTGTATCCTGCCAAGGGGTGTAAAACTCAGTGTATCCTGCAAGGGGGTGTAAGACTCAGTGTATCCTCGAGAAGTGTAAGACTCATGTATCCTGCAAGGGATGTAAGAAACAGTGTATCCTGCCAGGGGGAGCGTAAGACTCAGTGTATCCTGCCAGGGATGTAAGAAAGTATTATCGCCAGGGATGTAAGAAAAAGTGTATCCTGTCAGGGAGCGTAAGACTCAGTGTATCTGCCCAAGGGATGTAAAAACAGTGTATCCTGCCAAGGGGGCGTAAGACTCAGTGTATCCTGCCAAGGGATGTAAACAGTGTATCCTGCCAAGGGTATGAAAAAAAAAGTGTATCCTGTCAGGGGTGTAGAAACAGTATATCCCCAGGGATGTAAAAACAGTGTATCCTGCCAAAGGGATTAAGACTAGTGTATCCTGCCAGGGGGTGTAAGAAATGTATCCTGCCAGGGGTGTAAGACTCAGTATATCCTGCCAAGGGGTGTAAGCAGTGTATCCTGCCAAGGGGTGTAAGACTCAGTATATCCTGCCAAGGGGGTGTAAGAAACAGTGTATCCTGCCAAGGGTGTAGACTCAGTATATCCCGCAGGGGTGAAACAGTGTATCCTGCCAAAGGGGGTGTAAGACTCAGTATATCCTGCCAAGGGGGTGTAAGAAACAGTGTATCCTGCCAAAGGGGGTGTAAGACTCAGTGTATCCTGCCAAGGGGGTGTAAGAAACAGTGTATCCTGCCAAAGGGGGTGTAAGACTCAGTATATCCTGCCAAGGGGGTGTAAGAAACAGTGTATCCTGCCAAGGGGGGGTGTAAGACTAAGTGTATCCTGCATGAACTACACAAGTCTGGTCACATTGTACTGTACTACGAGAAGAAGTAACGTCAAGTGCATCACGTCGACATGATATAGTGAATTTATCGACTGTACCTCTCCCGACCTGACTCAACGTTTCATGTAGGAGTCATAAGTCATCATCTCTTGTATGACTGGTGATACATAAGTCATCATCTGTAGTATGACTGGCGATACATAAGTCATCATCTGTCGTATGACTGTGGTGATACATAAGTCATCATCTCTAGTGTGACTGGTGATACATAAGTCATCATCTGTCGTATGACTGTGGTGATACATAAGTCATCATCTCTAGTGTGACTGGTGATACATAAGTCATCATCTGTAGTATGACTGGTGATACATAAGTCATCATCTGTAGTATGACTGGCGATACATAAGTCATCATCTGTAGTATGGCTGGTGATACATAAGTCATCATCTGTAGTATGACTGGTGATACATAAGTCATCATCTGTAGTATGACTGGTGATACGTAAGTCATCATCTGTAGTATGACTGGTGATACATAAAGTCTGTCTTCTGTAGTATGACAATTGATACATAAGTCATCATCAATAGTATATTTAGTGATACATAAGTCGTCTGTAGTACTGACTAGTGATACTTAAGTCATCATCTATGGCTATTTAATTGTTATAAGTCATCATCATAGTATGACTATTGGTGATACATAAGTCATCATCTGTAGTATGACTGTGGTGATACATAAGTCATCATCTGTAGTATGACTGGTGATACATAAGTCATCATCTGTAGTATGACTGGTGATACATAAGTCATCATCTGTAGTATGACTGGTGATACATAAGTCATCATCTGTAGTATGACTGGTGATACTTAAGTCATCTTCTGTAGTATGGCTGGTGATACATAAGTTATCATCTGTAGTATGACTGGTGATACATAAGTCATCATCTGTAGTATGACTGGTGATACTTAAGTCATCTTCTGTAGTATGACTGGTGATACATATGTCATCATCTGTAGTATGACTGGTGATACATGAGTCATCATCTGTAGTATGGCTGGTGATACATAAGTCATTATCTGTAGTATGACTGGTGATACATAAGTCATCATCTGTAGTATGACTGTGGTGATACATAAGTCATCATCTGTAGTATGACTGGTGATACATAAGTCATCATCTGTAGTATGACTGGTGATACATAAGTCATCATCTGTAAAAACTATGACTGGTGATACACTAAGTCATCATCTGTAGTATGACTGGTGATAGCAAGTCATCATCACAATACTTTGGCTGGTGATACATAAGTCATCATCTGTGGTATGACTGGTGATACACAAAGTGCATCCATCTGTAGTATGACTGGTGATACATAAGTCATCGCTCTATGTAGTATAACTGGTGATACACTTAAGTCATCATCATATTATGACTGGTGATATAAGTCATCATCTGTGCATTTGGGTACATGATGCATGTCCTTAGTATGACTGGTGATACATAAGTCATCATCTGGCCGCCTGTTCAATTGATACATAAGTCATCATCTGTAGTATGACTGGTGATACATAAGTCATCATCTGTAGTATGACTGGTGATACATAAGTCATCATCTGTAGTATGACTGGTGATACTTAAGTCATCATCTGTACTATGACTGGTGATACATAAGTCATCATCTGTAGTATGACTGGTGATACATAAGTCATCATCTGTAGTATGACTGGTGATACATAAGTCATCATAAGCTACAAACTTGTGCATATATACACATGAATTTGTCACAATTGAACCAAATTAGATGTAGTTGGATTTAGAGAGAGAGAGAGAGAGAGAGAGAGAGAGAGAGAGCTTTAGTAGAATATACCAGTGTTCATCTTAATGAAGGTCAAAGGTTACTGGAAGTATAAATAAAAGGAGTTGTGGGGGTGTCTAGGTCATGTACTATACGCGGGAGAAGTGATGACATCTTATACAGGTCAGAGGTTAGGTCATGTTATATACGGGGTCAAGAGACACAGCTGGGGACAGGTCAACGACTACTAGACAAACATACAGTGTGTGGTTGATGTGTGTGTTAGTGGAGGTCGTTCAGTCATTATCCTAGACACTGTTAAGAAGTTGATGTGTTCAGTCTGTCAGGTCCAGTCCCATGTGTTGGATACCCTGTGTTCTGGCGGCTCCTCCCACCTCTCGGTACACACGAGGTCAACAGATAACAACAATGACAAATTCCTCCAGAAATATTCCTGAGAGATAAACGAAGAAAAGTTGTCATAAACATATATTGTCCCGAGCAGCACACCCACTCCAGTTATTGTTGGCAGGTGAAGCCCGCGGTATGTTGGTCCTGACGCTCGTGTTGTATTGTGAAGGTCATCGTTTGTTACTCTTATTTTGACAGTTAACAAACATGAAGGCCATTACCACCTCACATACAGGCCTCTGGTAACATACTCTACACACCATCACTTAACCATCACTTAACAGACTCGGGTAATTAATACATATCTATCATTATAAAACAGACACAGGAAGTAGTCACACACACACACACAGACACACAGACACACACACACACAGACACACACACACACACCTCAGCACAGACCAATACTCTAACTTCTGTAATCAATGAAGTTTTGTTTTGGAACTTTGATAAATATTGATGAGAAACTTCCTCAACAACCAGAACACTCACTGAACAACTACCATCACTTAACACCTGTAATATCCTTTGCTCATTAAGAACCTTAAGGTAGAGTACAGGTGAGTCAGGTAGACCGAGCATCATCTTGTGTGTGTGTGTGTGTGTGTGTGTGTGTGTGCGTGCGTGTGTGTGTGTGGTAAAGTAGAACACATATTATCTTTCAAGGTCTTGGTGGTATCATGGCATAGTATTTATGCCAACTAAATCCATCTCTTACACCAGTCACCACTTAGCATAGTCACCATTCATGCAAACAGTCAATACACAGTCGCACAGTCAACCATACAGTCATCACTCAACCATACAGACACCAAACACACAGTCACCACTAACCATACAGTCAATATTTTATGGCATGTACCACCTGTGTTCAGACAACCAATCAACCGCTTCCTTTGTGAACTAATCCCGCGGCTCCTGTTCACTGATTAGCTCTGAAACCTGTTATCAGTGACGTCATAAACCACGATCAGGTCTCACATGACCAATCACAGACCTTCTACCTGGATGACGTCACGGTGGTGTTACATTCATTTATAAAAATTCCCCGAGTGTTTCTTTGACGTTTCATTGATGTCGCACACACACCCCGCGAGCACACCTGTTCCTCCTCAGTCCTCCAGGTGTGACGGCAGGTTATAGGACCTTAATTACGAGCATTTTTTTTTATTTGCTGCAGGTAGAGTGGCCGTTGTTGTGGCTCAGGTCAGGCGAGGACAAGATACGTTAGGTTAGGGTGGGGTAGATTAGGTTAGGTTAGGTTAGGTTAGGTTAGATTAGGTTAGAGTGAGTTAGGTGGTCATTGGTGTTATACTGAACTCTCCCTTTTGGACACCAAGGTGATGGTATTTGGCGGGTGGTCGTCCTCCAGCAGTGGTCGTGCAGCGTCGTGCAGGTGGTGGTACGCCGGGTCGTGCCGGGTGTCGTCGCTGTACACCACGTCGTGACCCCGTCCTATATCCAGACTGGCTTGGCTGTGTGAGTGTCTGATGTCGAAAGTCTCCCGGGAGGTAGCGCGGCGTGTATCGAGGGTGGCGTAAACAGTTGGCACCACCCGTGACCTGTGACCCTCTGAGGTGACCTGTCGTCCTCCTGCCTCAAGGTCCAAGTGGGCGTATCGAGGGTCATCCTGTCAGGGGTAGAGGAAGATAGGATTGTTTGTGCTTTAAGGTGTAGGATAATCAACATTTTTAACTCAGGTGTAACAATAACGCTTCCTAATGCCTTCACCCCCAGTGCCCCCCTCTCCCAGTGCCCCTTGAAGTGCCCCCTACCCAGTGCCCCCCTCCACAGTACCCCCCCCTTCAGGTGCCCCCTACACCAGTGCCCCCTCCCCCAGTGCCCCACCCTCCCCACCCCAAGTACTTACTCCCCTCTTTGTGCCTCGGCAGCATCCCTCAGTTTGGTCTTGACTCCCTCTTCTACCTTCCATCCCTCTTGTATACACAGTCTTTACCAGTCACCCTCTTCTCAGTCTTCCAGTTTAGCCTCACTAGCGTAACAATTCAATAATATCCGGTCAGATTTGTTAGATTCTCTCTGACTTCTCCTCCTCCTTACAGCTGTATCACCTGTTCGTTGCATCTTCTTCATCCATCTATAACCCTTTTAATTAATACCAGTCTCCCTCTTCCTTCGTTTCTTAATGCATTTCGTATTATTCATTTCCTCTCTCACCTTCTCTCTGATTTAGTTATTCCCACATTTGGTCCATTTGCTGACACGTTCACTGTTTCCACCTAGACTAATGTTATTCCCCCTTCTCTCTTATTCCTACTGTTATTATCATTTTCATATCAAATCTAATTTCACTGGGAGTCGCTTTCTCTCTAACTGGTAATATAATCTGTTTTATTATTAATTAATTGACCCGTATTTAACCTGTTTATCCTATGTATTGTCGGTACTTTACACATCACTGTTCTGTCAATTCCACCAAATAAACTTTTTCCCATAAATATAAATGCCACAAGGAAATATATACTTTATTTCCTTATATTTAACTCTCATACATATCTAAATACTTCTAATACATTAATGCCCCTTTTAAGTTTGAATTTATTTGTGTTTATCATGGTAACTAAACACGCTCGCTGTCATTCCTTTGTTACGCTCTTATTAATCATTATCTCAACCTCAAATAAATAACATTTCAATAGATTTCTCATATTGTCTGACCTTTCCCTAGTTTTAATTTTTATCTCTCTGTTTCCTTATTTATTTGACTTTATTTCATAGTTTTTTCTCTTTGTAAAGGCCTTGGACTTTGGGATATGTATCCCTTGCCAGCCTAATCAGGATCTTATAAAAGGAAAGTCAAGAACCATGGGTTTCCAAGGGTAACAAACAACCGTTAGAGATTGACATCTCTTTACTACGAAAATAATCACAATAATTGACACCACCCACACAAATATCAAATAAAAAATTGCGGGAGTCAAACAATTAATGGAGTCAAACAATTAAGGGAGTAAAACAATTACGGGAGCCAAACAAAGTACAGATATTTCCTACGGCAGCAGCCCGGTGGAATGTTCCGTTGACACGGTAGTTCGCTCTCAGGAGGAAGGTCCCGAGCAGCTTCCCTCACTTGGCGCCGGCGTTGGTGGGCGATGTCTTGCCACACAGGAGAGACGCCAGGGCACGAACGGTGGATAGGGTGTGGAGGAAGTGGCGATGACGTGGCAGTCGCGGTAGTAGGTTGAGCAGGTGTCCGGAGATTGACAGCCAAATAGTGAAGGTCTGGGGAATCAGCCCACGAACCCCAGGAGCCTCAGATGAGTACATGACCAGAGTTTGATCGAACAGCGGGGTGCAAGTACAGCTGTGTTGATGGCTGGGTAGTGTCTGATGTGTGACGAAGCAGCAGCGACCTTCTCACCTCTGTCTATCCCCCTAGTGGGGCCAGCGGACAAGCAAACGAGCGGCAGACAACCATCCTGCTCATTACAGCCCTTACACAGCTCCCCCAACAAAAATCTACTGTAAGGTAGATTAAAACTTAAGATTAGTACAACAAAACATATAATAATCTTACAACAAATGGTTAAATATGCAGAGCAAAATAAAGAATAGAGAATGGTCACATTAAAAAGAATAAGTGGTAACTTGATATCCAAATATCGCTAGGCCGTATCAAGGAACTGCATGTGGGATCCACTTCAGTCCAGGTTTAAGTTTGGGCCTATTGCCAGTCGTAGAGGATTTTCTATACCATCCAGTGTTATCGGTAACTGACAACCGAGATCATCCGAGTCTGGCGCCTGAACTTCACACGAACTCTCGCAGGGTAGTGCCTCGACCGACTCCGGCTTGGGAACGACGTCAAGGACATGAGCAAAGTTAATGTAGGCCCTGCGATGATATTTCTTTAACAAATTAGCTGGATATTAATTTAGGCTTCTTAGAGGAAGGGGATGAGAGCTGTCCAACAAAATCTATGGCTACCCGAGAAAATGGCTCTGTAATGATGGGTAAGGGTTTAAGATGAACAGGACAGACTCTACCCTTGGCTGACATATGCTGGCACAGATCACAACTCCTACAAAAGCCTCTAATATCTGCTCCCATACCTGGCCAGTAAAACTGTTTAGCAACCTTCATATATGTCTTCCTACGAGAACAGTGTCCTGCTAGAGGACTCTCGTGAGCTACAGTGAGAATGTTGCTACGATAATCAGCAGGGACAACCAGTAAAAACCGACCTACTTTGGATGGTCGCTTGGATGACACACAAGACCTATGTAACAGACCATTAATACAAACAAACTTGTAAACAGACCCATCTCCAGCCTGATCCTCCTCCCTGGAAGTCACTTTCTCCCTCACCCGCGCCAGAGTGGTACAGAGTTGCCAACGCTTAAAGCGCAAAGAACATAAGGTGGCAGCAAGTGGTAACGGATAACGACATTCCGGTCTAGATACACATTCTATGTAACAAGTCATAAGTGTTTTACGAAAACACAAAAACAAAATAGAGTGACGTGTTATATTCTTCCAAGTGTATTATAGTATCCGGTAGTGAGATGTTATATGTTGAGTGACTTTTATTTTGTCATCCAAAGAGGTGAGCAATTTTTTTTCAATAATCAATTCTGAGTTATTGATGAGTTTCTATCTTATGGAAAGTTGGCAACACCCCTGTCTGGCAACAAGGCGTGACGGCGAGGAATTCACGAGGTCAGCATTCAGCATCCTGTGCTCGGATCTTACAGTGTTGCCACATACCTACGAGCTTCGAGGTTTTACAACACATGGACCTTACGCCAATGTTTAAGCAGACTGTTTTGGCTGTTTGTGACTGCAGATTGTTTACTCCCCGGGTGTCCCCAGTGAGTCCTATATATACAGGGCTTCCGAAGGTTTGACACACAGAAGGAGAGGCATCTCGGCAGTGGTGGACGTATCCAGCAACCTCAAGACCAGCAGTCAGTAATTTTGGTGGATAGTGGACGCCCCGGCGTTGAAGTGAACTTGCCCGTCGCCATCTTGAAGCATCATTTAGTTGCTATGCAACGAAGATAAGCACCTGACAGCGCGGCGGCCATTGACCCACTCATCTCGACCTTAAATCAGTGGGAGGGACAGCTGTGTCTGTCGGCATCCGTTTTCTACGACGACTGAGACCTCCGTAATAGGTACCTAGGTATACATCATATATACCCACAAAAACAGATTCAACGGCATAACTTCACACAGATAGACATCGGGTAGCTTATATCAATTATTATAAGTGCCCTACTTATTGTAATATATACTGACGTAATATAATTTCCAGTATTTATTCTTAACCTGTTCAGCTATTGATAATTTAATTATTTTAAATATAATTTATATCAATTTCCTGTAAATGGATGGACAAGGTTATTTTTTTGGTTTGTATCTATACAATTTTTCAAATCATAGACATAGAAAATGAGTACATTTTATATTTTGATCCCAGGAAGGATAATAATGTTAATGATATCATAGACACATCTTTTCAAAATATAAATATAACATAGTTCTACAGTATATTATCACAGACTGTAAATTTTCAGCTATACCGTGGTAGAACCCTTCACAACTCAGTACCATTGCTCTCCGTAAAAATGAATGTTTCGTTGAAGTGTCTCAAGCACCACACACTCATTCATCCAGTGTGATTATAGTAGCAAAAGTTGTACATTGTTAAGAAGATGCGTTCTTAAACACAAAGTAGGCGAAGATTATTTCTGCCATGTTATTACGGGATTTACTTAGCCAAGTTAACGATTTCCACTATTACGTTGATATTGGCAGTAATATTTGTCTTTTAAGTCAGAATCATCCAATCTTGCCATTGTATATGAGATACTAGCTCATAAGACACTTAAGTCTAGGGTCCCAGTAGTTGATGAGCCTACGGTTCCAGAGTCCCCAGTTTAGTGTCTGCACATATGTTCGTAGCATGGTTAGGTTTATGTATAGGATGTTTTTCTGCGAGTTTAGTTTATTCCTCGTGGAAGCTCGGAAGGTGGTGACCGAGCGATGTAATAGCCCCTGTCTTATAGGCAGAAGTATTATATAAATGGGGTAATTACATTTGATTTATATATTCTATCACCCTCCGTAACTTTCCATTAGCTATGAGGTAGCAGGTTCAGAGCACGTGATAAGATGTGCCCATGGGAAGTCGTGTCACTTAGTGCTGAGCTAAGGCATTAAGTAGCCGGTTCTCTGGCCACCTGATGCAGGCAGTAGTTTGATATCCTTGACTAGAGGAAGACGTTATTGAGAGCCATCGTGGATGGCTCCATCTTCCCTTGAGGGAGGACGTCAGATATATTTCCGTTCTCCCTCGATGGGACCCTGCTCATTAGCATTGTCACTCAACACCTCACACTAACCGGACGTATTTAGCAGAGCTACTTAACATAGCCTCCCTCCTCCTCTTAACACGCATAGCTACAGTGATTAAGTTATGGTGATATACACTTGGAACTGTATCCGAGACAGATCCTAAATAAATAGATAATAGGCAATTGGGTTTCGCTACTAAAATCCTATATACTATACATGTTCCAGCCTCATTAACCCAGACGGAATCAACGGTTAAAGGACTAGAACAGGCTTGAAGCTTGGCGAACTCCTTGGGCGTCACGGTCAGTGGCTGCAATTTCGGTAGAACCAAGGGATGCAGTCGTTTCACCTTCACTGACTGTGTCTCCACAACTTGGACCTTTATTGGAGGCGAGGTGGCTTGTGAGGGTGGCGAGGCGAGGCGACGTCAGCAGGTGGCGAGGCGAAGTCAGAAGGTGGCGAGGAGACTTGCCCTGGTGGCGAGGAGAGTTTTAAGGGTTCCGGGTCGTTAGGGTCACGAACTCCGGGAACATTACCAATGAGAACACTAGCGAATTTATTGGGCGCTCTTACCACATTAGACCAACCAGTGAAATAGGGGCAACGCAGGTAGCACCTAACAACAGGGAACTGGTCAACACGACCTAAATAATCGGCGACGCCAACCTTCGAGCAGCTGGAGATGTCAGCGTCAGGCAGGGCTTCCTCAGAGACAACAATACACGAGCAACCGGTGTCCCTGATGATAGTAGATGCCCAAGACCCATTCATTGTTCCACTGACACAATAACGGGGGCAGCTCCTGTCTTCCAAACAGAAGCCGACCTTGTAGCTGGGCTGATGAATGTCGGTAGATTTGAAGGCACGGGGATTCCTGGGATAGCGAGAACGTATGTGCCCTTCTTCTCCGCAGTTGTGGCACCGCATGGCGGTGAACTACTCCTCTCTACTCCTGTGAATGGTTCCTCGGAGGACGGAGGCTTCGTGCTCTTCACTGGAGGAGTGGGAGACTTGGGGTAGGCGTTGCGAGCGGACGCCCAGTTGTCAGCAAGTTCTACAGCTTCTCCTAGCGTCTCTGGCCGGTGCTCCTTGATGAAGTTAGTGAGAGACACAAAGGTTTCCTCAACCTCTGACGCCTCTAGCCATTGTTGAAACAAACGACCCATGTGGATTGAAAACTGCTGGTATGTTTCCCCCGCTCTAATCTTTGTTCTGCGGAAATCAACACGATAACCACCAGAAGTCTTGTTAAACCCTCGCAAGAGAGCTTGCTTCAACAAAGAGTAATCTCTAGTGATGTCGGCAGAGAGGGACGTATAAATCTCTACCGGTTTACCACTCAGTAGGCTACCCAATCTTACAGCATAGCTATCTTTGTCCACACCAAGCAGCTCAGCTACCCGTTCAAACCTAACAAGGTAGGAAGCGATGTCTTCTTTTTCACGATAAACAGGCAAACTAGGTTTTGCTACATTATCTTGTATAGGGCCAGAGGATTCTGGTCTAGTTTGAGCATTAATCCTAGCTAGTTCTATGTCCTTTTCTGCCTTCAACTTAGCTAATTCGAACTCTCTTTCTCTGTTGCGTTCCTATCTCTTTCTCTCCTCTCTCTCTTTGTAGCACTCCTCTCTCTCTCGGCAGTCTGTTGGGTGATCATATACTGACCAACAGCAGCATCTGTCAGACCCAGGGCCACCGCTTGACCTTTCAACTCCTCAAAACTAGACATAATGATCCGAAAGGCCAAGAGCCAAAGTGACAAATTAAAATACTTACCCCGCAACTAGCCAAAAGTAACTACTTAGTGGCTCAATCAAACCATTAAAGGATTCTTTCCGGCTGGAGGAAACCTTGTTTCGCACCCAGTCCAGTTAAAACACCTCAGGGAAAAGAACCGCACCAGGTGAATCAATAACGAAACGCTATGGCAGCATCCACAGTGTACCCCAACCAACACTAATTACCTTCCCTAGCACGAGGGAGAGCAACAAAATTAGCACAACAGAAGGAAGGGATAAGCACCAAACAACACTTACTTCCGGGCCTCAGACAGCAAGAGGCGTGCTCAGGGCGCGCTCATGGCAACTTACAACAAACAGCGGTAACGAATATTAACCCTCAGAAACGAAGGTTAGAGACAATCCTGGCGAGGTCGCCACTTGTAAAGGCCTTGAACTTTGGGATGTAAATCCCTTGCCAGCCTAATCAGGATCTTATAAAAGGAAAGTCAAGAACCATGGGTTTCCAAGGGTAACAAACAACCGTTAGAGATTGACATCTCTTTTCTACGAAAATAATCACAATAATTGACACCACTCACACAAATATCAAATAAACAATTACGGGAATCAAACAATTAAGGGAGTCAAACAATTAAGGGAGTCAAACAATTACGGGAGCCAAACAAAGTACAAATATTTCCTAGGGCAGCAGCCCGGTGGAATGTTCAGTTGACGCGGTGGTTCGCTCTCAGGGGGAAGGTCCAGGGCAGCTTCCTCACTTGGCGCCGGGCAAGGGTGGGCGATGTCTTGCCACACAGGAGAGACGCCAGGGCACGAACGGTGGATAGGGTGTGGAAGTGGCGATGACGTGGCAGCCGCGGTAGTAGGTTGAGCAGGTGTCCGGAGATTGACAGCCAAATAGTGAAGGTCTGGGGAATCAGCCCACGAACCCCAGGAGCCTCAGATGAGTACATGACCAGAGTTTGATCGAACAGCGGGGTGCAAGTACAGCTGTGTTGATGGCTGGGTAGTGTCTGATGTGTGACGAAGCAGCAGCGACCTTCTCACCTCCGTCTACCCCCCCCTAGTGGGGCCAGAGAACAAGCAAACGAGCGGCGGACAACCATCCTGCTAGTTACAGCCCTTACACTTTTATTATTATCATATTCTTCATGTCTCTATTTCACTTCTTCTTTCTTCTATGTCTTTGCTTTTATCAATAACCTTTAAACTTCCCAATCACTTTTGCTGTCTCCATTAATTATTCTAAAGACACAATGCAGT